GAGCCAGCGCGTGCCCAAGCCACCATATCTCTCTCAGGAGACACGCGTGGCTTGGCTGCGCTGCAGGCCACGCGGTGAGTGCCGCCTGGCATTTTGTCACCCCCCTCAGTGGTGACACCCAGGGTGGCCCACAGTCACCGCACCCCCCCTTCCTCTGCCCTGATTGTAGTTATAATATATTGCAGTCATACCTCGGGTTATGGATGCTTCAGGTTACGTTTTTTTCAGTTTACGGACTGCCGAAACCCGGAAGTACCGGAAGCGCCGAATCGCAACCTGCGCAGCTGTGGGTTGCGAACGCTGCGGGTTGCGAACGTGCATCCCGCACGGATCACGTTCGCAACACGAGCGTCCACTGTACAGTAATACCAATAGAAGTACTAGCATTTGAGACCATTAATGTGCATGGAACTTTGCAGAGTAGCATAAACTTGTCAACCTCACTGTGATCTTCAGATGTATGGCGTTATACAAATTCAAGAAATAATAATAGACTTAGATAATATGTTCCTTCTCCTAGGAATTGGCAATCTAGATACTAGCAGTATAGGAGACAAAATCGGAAGGGGCAGGCAGATCACGTTAAGGATTGCATGGGTGGTCTCTAACTCAGAGACTTCCACCCCACCTTACTCTCCCCCATGTGTACCTTGCACCTTCTCCAAATCTGCTCCAGAGAGCCAGGGTGTTATGTACTGAAGTTCTCACCCTGGGCCAGCAGGGGGATACTGTAGATAGTTCAGGTCCACATATGCAAATAAAGGATTGAAAGTGACGTTCAGTGATTGGATAGTTACAGAAAGTTATTACAGTTACGTTGTACTGGAGCTCTATATAAGCAGGCTGGCTGAACCCTTCAGTTCAGTTCTGTTCTGGCCTGTGAATAAACAAGAGCTGTTTGAAGAATCGCTGTGTCGTCTGATATGTTCACCCACAACTTAACACAGGGAATGCTCGGAACACATTTAGAGACACACAGAATGAGGAGAGGGAGGAAAGTTCTGTTGTGTAAGCAAGCATCCTTGCACTGATGCAGCAAGTTACTCAGTGCTACATTGGATGCAACCCCACATAGTGACAGAGAGGGAGAACAATTTGATAAATCACCCTAAATAGAACTGGGGGAATGCCCCAGTCATTTCTCTCCCCCCCTTCCCCCATAATACCTGGAAACACGTGAGAGTCATACCTCACCTAATCAAAATACATTTTTTCCCATTTTAATAAACCCCACCCACGCACCCACCCTTCCATTTTCTTCACCCTCCCTCTCCTTTTTTCCTCGCTGGACTTTGACAACATGCTTAAGTTAGTTTCACATCTGATTTGTCGCCTGAGCTTCCCAAAGTTCGGGAAATTAGTATTGTGTGTGCAGTTTGATTTAATTAGCAATTGGGGAAATAGGTCTGGCATGTTTCAGGGAGTCTTGGGGAAATTGTCAATTAGCATTCTGTTAATTGGTGTCTGCTGTCCTTGCTTTTAGTTTTTAACCCCTTTTACCTTGTTCCCACTTCCAGGGTGGAAAAAAATCTGGCTGCTTATTATTCTTTAAGTAAAGGATTAATTGCTTCAACTCCTGCCTGTGCATAATGTCCCTTTTTCCCTCTCCCAGCGTGGCGAGATTTGCAACCGTCGGTAGAACAGACACTCATTTCTTTCAAGCGCAAGCCTCCTGCCATTTATTTGAGATGTGTCAGGAGAGTTCCTCTATTCAGCCGGCAATGACCTCTTGCTTTAAGGCATATTCATTGGGGTTTTGCCTTGTTCGACTTTTAAGTACTCTCAGAGAACTTTCGATAGCGAGGTTTTGTTGTCTGTGCATAGTTGGCAACCTCATCAGAAATATTTTTGTTTTGCTGGTTTGTGAGCTCCGCGTAGGAAAGTGCAGTTCTCTCTGGATAAATCTCGCCGGTCTCGCAAAAATCCCTTAGATGTTTCTCCTGAAGTGGGATTACCCCGACTTCATGGTGAATGTTCTTTTGGGCGAAATCTGATGGTAGCAATGGCATGTGCAGAGAAATTTCACTGGGCTAGCAAAGTTATTTTAGCTTCCCCCCCTCCGACCCCCCACAAAAGAAAAAAAGACTCAGATGTTTCCAGTGTGGTGTAGTGGTTAAGAGTGATAGACTCGTAATCTGGTGAACTGGGTTCGCGTCTCTGCTCCTCCACATGCAGCTGCTGGCTGACCTTGGGCTAGTCACACTTCTCTGAAGCCTCTCAGCCCCACTCACCCCACAGAGTGTTTGTTGTGGGGGAGGAAAGGAAAGGAGAATGTTAGCCGCTTTGAGACTCCTTCGGGTAGTGATAAAGCGGGATATCTAATCCAAACTCTTCTTCTTCTTGAGAAGCCCGAACTCCAAATCATGCTAGATTCTGCTTTGGAATCTCTTCTGAAATTTTGCGCATTCTAAAATTCTAATTCTACTATTCAATAGCAATAGTTGGGATGTAAGTAAGCAGTGTTTTCCAGCTCACCCTGTTTTGGGTCACATGCAACACTGGTTCCCTTCTCCTGCAGTTCGTCTTCTACCAAAAATCACTTTCTTTGCTTTTTTCTTTCTTTATATACAGCCCTATATCTGGGGGTCTCAGGGTGGTTCACAGAATAAAATCAAGATATAAAACCACAAAATACATAATAAAAATAAAAACAGCAACCCAATACCACCCCCCAAAAAAACATTTTAAAAGGGCATAGGATGTAAGTCGGTTAAAGAGGAACATATTTGCCTGGCGCCTAAAGGTGTATAATGAAGGCTCCAGGTGAACTTTCCTGGGGAGAGCATTCCACAGACGGGGAGCCACTGCAGAGAAGGCCCCGTTCTTGTGTTGCCACCCTCCGAACCTCTCTTGTCTCATTGCCTGCTGTGGTGAAATTACGTAACTTGCGTAAATAATTAATTAGGTAATTTGCGCTGCCATTGCGTTGTTCCACCACGTTGATTTCAGAAGCCAAGGTGTGCTTCTTGTTGTCAAATGACCCTGCAAACTTGGGGAATGACCAACGGCACTCCTGCAAATCATCTCAGTGATCAACAATGGGGTCACATGTTGTCAGCCAGGTGCCCCCATCAGCGATCTGCACCAGGTCCAAGGGCAGCCCCACAAGGAGCTCAGTGCAGTAATCCCGCCTCGTGGTACCAATGCATGGCCAGGCTATCGGTGATCACAAACATCACAAGGCTATGGTGGTCTCTACTGCTATGTGTTTCGATTTCTGGGAATGGAGTTGAGAGACGACCTAACCTGGGGAGAGAACAGCAAATACCTGGTGAAGAGAGCACAGCAGAGGTCATATTTTCTGAGAATCCTCCGGGAAAACAATCTCTCAAAGGACCTGTTGATGGCATTTTACCATTGCACTGTGGAGAGCGTACTAACTTATGGTCTGTGTGTATGGTTTGGGAGTTGCACAGCCAGGGAAAAAACAATGCTATCCAGGGTTGTAAAGACTGCAGAGAGAATAATTGGGTGCACTCTTCCCACCTTAGATCAAATCTATGCTGCCAGGTGCTATAAGAAAGTGGCAGAGATAGCACAGGATAGTACGCACCCCGGAAATGATCTCTTTCAGCTTCTGCCTTCTGGAAGAAGGTATAGGGTTATAAAGGCCAGGACTAGCCGCCTGAGAAACAGTTTCTATGCAAATGCAATTCTGGTTCTAAACGCAGCATAAGGGGTTTCTACAGTATAGTTTATTTTAAAATAGGGTTTTAGAGTTTTTAGGGGGTTTTGAATGTTTTGTGTAGTTTTGTAGTACTTTTATGTAGTTTTTGTGTAGTTTTGTGGTAGTTTTATGTAGTTTTTATTTACTTTTATGTAGTTTTGCAATTTCATTGTCCTGCATGGGACAATGACAATAAAGATATATCGTATCATATCGTATGATCGGGGCGGAGGAAGGAGGGTGCGGTGGGGGTGGGCCGTCCTGGCTGTCACCACTGAGGGCGCTCGACTTGCTTCCTCCGCCGCTGACTAAAATATGTGTGTGTGTGTGTATCGATGTCACGTTGGGGGGCGGTGGGGCGGAAAGTTAATGATGGTAGTGTCGGAAATCAAGCCTTTATCAGGAGAAACTTGCAACACTCCCAGGCACCCAGCTTGGTCTCCTGTTGACCTCCCTGGCTGCATTCCCAGCAAGATCCAGGCTAGGTCGCGATAGGCGATTCTTCTCAGCGTGAGAAGAACACACCCCCTCCCTCCTGCACTCCCGGCAGGGAAAAGGAGATAGACAGAAATGTTTTTACATGCTTTTATTTCTGTCTTTGAAGCATAACAGAAAACATGACTGCTCTCTTCAAGCTCCAGCAGTCGAGTGACAAACGCCTCCTGTACTTCCTGTACAAGAGCAAGAGGAAGAGCTCATATTACACTCTGAGCTAATTCCGGTGCATTGCCCTGTGAGCTGACTGTCCCTCTGTTTCCCACGGACAGTCACAACATTCCCATCATGTTTACTTTTCAAGCTAGCAGTTTGCAGCTGCATTGCTTCTATATCGTAACAGGTAGCCGTGTGGTTTTCCTAATCATCATCATTTTAATTCCCCTGCCATTTCCCCACTGAGCAAGACTTAGGGTGGTCATGTATCCTCCTTTATAGAGGGCGGTCATGGGATAGAATTGTAGAGTTGGAAGGGATCACAAGGGTGATCTCGTTGGACCTCTGCAATGCAGGAATCCTTTTGCCCAATGTGGGGCTCGAATCTACGACCCTGAGATTAAGAGTCCTCTATTTGTAGGGATTCTCCTGTCCATAAGACACATGAGAACACAAGAAGAGTGTGTGGGATGAGGCTGATGGCCCCTTTGGTCCAGCATCCTGTCCCCACAGTGGCCAACCAGATCCTGGGAGGTGTCATTTGTTAAGGGTGGCTGGGAGTTGTGAGGAGACTCTCTCCCCCGCTATTCCACCCTCAGCTCTACAATTCTCAGAGTGATTGAACAGCCAATCCGTATTCCTAGGGTGCTCTGAGAATTCTAGGCTGTGAGAAGGTTTCCTAAGGCAGTGTTTCCCAACCTTGGGTCCCCAGCTGTTTTCGGACTACAATTCCCATCATCCCTGACCAATGGTATTGCTAGCTAGGGATGATGGGAGTTGTAGTCCAAAACCAGCTGGAGACCCAAGGTTGGGAAACACTGTCCTAAGGACTCTCAGCACCCTGAACAAACTACACTTCCCAGGATTCCTTTGGGGGAGGGAAACCATGGCTGCTTAAAGTGGCATGATACCTCTTTAAAGAGATAGTGCTGCTTGGTCCTGTTTGTGTGTCTGGGTGGGTAATATAATAATGATGATGATGATGATGATGATAATAATAATAATTTATTATTTCTACCCCGACCATCTGGCTGGGCCCTGCCCACTCTGGGCAGCTTCCAACAAAGATTAAAAATACATCAAAATGTCACACATTAAAAACTTCCCTGAACAGGGCTGCCTTAAGATGTTTTCAAATGTCAGGTAGTGGTTTATCTCTTTGACATCTGATGGGAGGGCGTTCTACAGGGCGGGCGCCACTACCGAGAAGGCCCTCTGCCTGGTTCCCTGTAAATTTGCTTCTCGCAGTGAGGGAACCGCCAGAAGGCCCTTGGCGCTGGACCTCAGTGTCCGGGCAGAACAATGGGGGTGGAGATGCTCCTTCAGGTATACTGGGCCGAGGCTGTTTAGGGCTTTAAAGGTCAACACCAACACTTTGAATTGTGCTTGGAAAAGTACTGGAAGCCAATGTAGGTCTTTCAAGACGGTGTTATGTGGTCTCGGCTGCCACTCCCAGTCACCAGTCTAGCTGCCGCATTCTGGATTAGTTGTAGTTTCCGGGTCACCTTCAAAGGTAGCCCCACAGAGGGCATTGCAGTAGTCCAAGCGGGAGATAACTACAGCATGCACCACTCTGGCGAGACTGTCCGTGGGCAGATAGGGTCTCAGCCTGCATACCAGGTGGAGCTGGTAGACAGCCGCCCTGGATACAGAATTGACCAGTGCCTCCATGGATAGCTGTGAGTCCAAAATGGCTCCCAGGCTGCACACCTGGTCCTTCAGGGGCACAGTTACCCCATTCAGGACCAGGGAGTCCTCCACACCAGCCCTCCCCCTGTCCCCCAAGAACAGTACTTCTGTCTTGTCAGGATTCAACCTCAATCCATTAGCCACCATGAGAATGGCACGATGCAGGGTTGAGACACTGCACCCAGCTTTTCAGGTCTGAAGTTTGTTAACTCTCTCCCCTCCCCAAGCCTTACTGAAGTGGTGGAGGGGAAGTTGTGGGCCTGGTGGAGAGGCCCCAGGGGCCACATCTGGATATAGGCTGGCCATTCACACACATGCCTGCCCTGCTTCTAAGCCCGAACTGGATCATCACCTTGTCGTGGTGAGTGGGCTTGCATGTCCCTATGACCCTTGTGAGCGAAGCCTTTGGGAGTCTCGTTCTCCCAGCTGGGTCACCCAAGGCGGTAAGGTCAAAGGGGAGGAGCTAGACAAAGAATGACCCCAAAAGTCCTCAACAGCAGAACAGGCGGAAGATAACAAGAGGTATGTTACAATGGCTGTAAAGGCGGATGAAGGCTGCAGCAGATAAGAATCTACTGGTTGTGGTGACTACTCATGCCATTGGAATAGAGATTTACTGTGAAGACTGTGCACTGGTCAGTGTGCACTGATCTATACACATAAAATGAATTCACACACAGGCATCTTCCAAACTTTACCAAACGTGTCATGAGCTTTGAAGATGCTTGAACTCAGGACGAAAGGGAGAAACATGCTAAGAGGAAGGCACGCTTGGCAAACCCTCACCGTGATCAACTCCGGCCCAGAAACCTATGTCCCCACTGTGGAAGGACTTGTGGATCCAGAATTGGCCTCCACAGTCACTTATGGACTCACTGTTAAAACCGTGTTTATGGGAGACGATCTTACTCGGTTACGAGTGATCGCCAAAGAAGAAGTCTGAACTATAACCCACTTAATGAGGAGACCGTTCTGTCTTGGTTGGAAGCAGCATACTCTTCAACATTTCACTGATGAAAATAGGGGCATCCTATTCCATAATAATAATAATACTAATAATGATTTTATTATTTATACGCCAGCCCCTCTGGGCAGCTTCCAACATATATTTAAAAAACATAATAAAACATTAAACATTTTAAAACTTCCCTATACAGGGCTGCCTTCAGATGGCTTCTAAAGCTTGTATAGTTACTTCTCTCCTTGGCTCAGGGGTCGGATAACTCCACACCCTCCAACATTTCTCCAATGAACTTAGGGATGTCCTAAGGGACAGGTGGCACTGTGGGTTAAACCACAGAGCCTAGGGCTTGTCGATCAGAAGGTCGGCGGTTTGAATCCCTGCGATGGGGTGAGCTCCCGTTGCTCAGTCCCTGCTCCTGCCAACCTAGCAGATCAAAAGCACATCAAAGTGCAAGTAGATAAATAGGTACCGCTCCGGTGGGAAGGTAAATGACGTTTACATGCGCTGCTCTGGTTCGCCAGAAGCGGCTTAGTCATGCTGGCCACATGACCCGGAAGCTGTACGCCGGCTCCCTCGGCCAGTAAAGCGAGATGAGCGCCACAACCCCAGAGTCGGTCACGACTGGACCTAATGGTCAGGGGTCCCTTTACCTTTACCTTAAGGAAAAGCAGACATTCTGGGTTCAAATCAGGAATGAGGATGCCTTCTGTAAATGCGGGACTGTCCCTGGAAAATAGGGACACAGAGTTTGAAGTGGTTCCTTATCTGAATCAGATCATTTAGGAGAAAAAATTAAAAGAGGAAAATACAAAGCCTAGATCTAAAGAGATAATAAATGTATGCTTTCATGTATTACAGGAACCAAACAGCGAAGGCAATCTCTCTCTTTCCTCTGACACTTGGGAAGTGTAAAGTGCCCAGTCTAACCAAGTAATAACCTCCAGAGGGATGGCAGAGAAAGAAAACCTTTGGGTTAAGATAGTTCATTTTAACTTCCAACCGTAATGGAGATATTAATGTCCAAATCAAAAAAAGCGATGCCAGAGAGAGGAAGCTCAGACATGCTCTCCTAACAGCTGCAAAGTGCTAACGGGGCCCCCGGTATAATAAATCACAATCAGTTAGGTAAAATATGAAATTATCATTTTGAGAATCGCTCTCTTTGAATAATTCAATCATTGACTTTCACATCAAACAACCATTCTAGGCCCACCCCCACAACAGTTCAGTCCTGCGCACCAGCTTAAAGCTCTCCTTAATTATCGGAATTAACCTATCCGATTATGATTTCATTCTTAGGGAATCGTGGGGGAGGGTTGGTGATGATGATAAATCGCAAGGAGCAGGAAGTCTTTCAGGTGCCCTTCGGGGGAATCCGCTTCCTGCTAGGGCCTCTGGGATGGGGCTTGCAGCTGGGAAACTGAACACAGGCTTGCCTTTGTCCTGAACGACAGCAAGGGCAGATAGGAAGTATCCCATTATTATTATTATTATTATTATTATTATTATTATTACTACAGTGGTACTTCGAGTTATAGATGCTTCAGGTTACAGACGCCACTAACCCAGAAATAGTACCTCGGGTTAAGAACTTTGCTTCAGGATGAGAACAGAAATCGCGTGGCAGCAGCAGGAGGCCCCATTAGCTAAAGTGGTGCTTCAGGTTAAGAACAGTTTCAGGTTAAGAACGGACCTCCAGAACGAATTAACTTCTTAACCCGAGGTACCACTGTATTTTTAAAAAATCCAAGCTCGAGTTGTTTGAGTTGTGTGCATTTTAGCAACTGCCAGGAAATTTTATTTGGGCAGATGCCGAGAAGAGAAGAGAAGAGAAGAGAAGAAAAGAAAAGAGAAGAGAAGAGAAGAGAAGAGATTGGACATTGTGTCAGGTGTTTAGCAATACAGGCCCTGTAGGTACCCTGGTACCACCTCTGGTGCCTATGAAATGTCTCAGTGAATATCTTCTCAAAAGCCCATTGTTTATGAGAGACTATTTATTCTCCCCAGTTTCTTTTTGCCCTGGCTCAGCCTCTCCTCCATTTCTGAATGGCAGCCATTTTGTGTTATGCTAGAGCCCCACCCTAAGCTGGGGCCCACAACATTACCTCAAAACCCCAAATGAGTCCGCTGCCCCAAATTTTTGGTGACTCCTGTGTGTATATTGCCATATTTGAATGTGTGCCTGGAGGGAATGTTCCGCGAACAATATTTGGAAAAAACGGAATCCAACTTGGGACCAACAACACCCAACAACCACCTCACATTTCCAGATGTGGCAGCAAAAAAACAAACAAACAGGGGGTTTATCAAGGCTTCCATTTTTGTGTTCGGGTACCAAGGCCTACTTGAAGCCATTAAATCCATACAATGGATGTGTTGTGTCCCCACCGCTGCAACTAAATAAATTGCACACCTAAACAGGGACACACCTTTTCACCATAATCATAAAGCAAAGTAATCACATTACTGCCTTTCATGTCGCATTAGAGCAAATGGATACGAGCATGATGCATATTAATATAATCGGAAGGGAAATTGCTAATACAATTAGACTTTCACATTTTATTAGACCAGAGTGGCAACATACATGAGAGAGCGGCTCACTTTGGCAGCGCCTGAAGCAAGCGCATATATTTCTATATTAATGAAATGGAAGTTCGTCGGCAGTGCTTCCCGGGGACGTCTCAGGGCAACGTCTATGAGGCATGATGCGCAAGAAGCCAGCCAGCCCCGCCTGCCAAAGTAGACGGCCTGCTCCTCCCTTGGCGGGAAAGAGGAAATGCATTGCCCCAAAAAGAGAGGGAACAGATTGCACAGCTATTATGCATATAATGAACATTTGGAAAGAAGGACCGTCATTTAAACAGAAATACAATCCACCCCACTGTGCTGAGGAACAAGACTGTGATCTGGTAACCTGTGTGCCTGCTCTCTCTGCTGTCCAGGTACATGTCTCTGATGAATATAGGGACGTCATTATTATTATTATTGTTATTGTTATGTACCCCACCCAATGTGGGCAGAAAGTTGACGCCCCTGCTTCCTACCTAGAAACAGGCCAGAGAGAGGCACTGCTTCTTTTTTTAAAAAAAATAATTTTTATTGAGTTTTCCATATTTATCGTAATCACATTTTGTTACTACTACTACTACTACTACTAATTTCTTATTT